CGTACTCAGTGAATATTCAAAGTAGATTTTCTCGAAAACGAAGCTTCGAATCAAAAAATTTTATTCTTTATTTTCGATTCGTTTTTTCACGTAGAATCACCATCTCCTTGGTTGTACCACCGATATTGGGGCACCCTATTTCCACAAATTTCGACCAATTTCTAACAATTTTCCCATCGTTTCTCGGCAAAGTGGCACAAGAAATTTTTGTTCCTTGAAAGACACTCTTTAAAGTCCCGAAGGAATTTTTCAAAAATAATCCCTTTTTAACATTCTCCTTTCATGAATAGTCATTCAGGCCACGGTAAGCTCAGCGCAAAGTCACTATGGCCGACTGTCCCGCGCTTTTTGTTCTTCCTTTGAGTAACCCAAATAAACGTCATTTTTTTCACGCCACCGGCCCACCAAAATAGTATCGGTGACGGTCTTGATCCGCGAACGACGATCGCGCCAATCATTGTTCGATGGTATTTAGGAGACCGCCTATTTTCAGCCTACTATTTTTGTTTTAAATGGCTTTTGCGACGAACCCCTTGCCAGCACACGCGAATCCCGATGCATCACCGAACAGTCACGCGACTATTACACCTGACCCTTCGAGATTTTCCTAATCCAGCCGCGTTTCCAACACACGCATCGATATTTCCAGGAATTCCAAGTATCACACGGTTCATTCGTCGATACTTAACCTACCATGACCGATTTCGAGCACAACCAGTTAAATTATCGACATTATCAAATGCAGAAATTAATGACAAGAACATTTGGAATTTACGACGTGGCGTTAGAAATTATCCCAAAAAATTTGGAAAAATTCTAGAGGCGTTATTAATCGCTCTCTCCTATCTATACACACGCACACGCACGCGTTTCGCCTAAACGATACATCGTACCGTCGATTATGCCAGCCACTTCTGCGAACTCGATCGAAATTATCGGCCATTTTCGGGCGTCGTTTCCTTCCATTCGCGTCGCATGGAAATGTCATTTCCAGGGGGATCGTGAGTGCACGCTGCCTATAGGGGCGAAGTTAATTAAGATCGCGATCGGGCGAATTTTCTGTGCAACCTGCGTTTAATTAACTGCCGCGAACCGGCTCCGCATTTTCGAATAATTCCCCGGCTGAAATTACGAATAATTGCCGGGTACGTGGCTCGTAGGCTTATTTGCCTACGGGTTTTCGGTCTACAGCCGTGTGCGCGGGCAACGGTATTGTTCCTGCTATTGTTGAAAAGCCGGCCTGCAACATCGCGAGCGATCCGATCGGACCGGAGGTACGCGAGGTCGATGGAAAAATCGTCTGGAATCCGATGACGTTGGACCTATGGAAAAGGTAACGGCCGATATCCCTACGAGAGCTACTCCCACTTTTCCTTATCGAATGCGCGCCACCACGCGGCCGCTGTGCGAAACGCGAGATAAACGGATGCGACGACTTTTCTAATTTAACGAGTTACGACTTTGTGACTCGCGCGCGATAGAGCAGCGAACTTTTCGATTGTAGTTCCCAATTGAAAAGTTGTCCCACCAAAAGTTTCGAGTCCGACGACTTCCATCCCAAGAATTACATTCCATTTACGAATTCTCAACCGATTTATCGCCGATTTCCCGTACTTTTTTCATGGAATGACGCGACTTTGGTCTTGACTTTGTTTTCAGCTACGATTTCCATTCGAAATGCGTAGGTATAGTATTCGTGTGTGGGGAATATGCATCGCGCTATTTTTCTTGGTCGAGCAACTTGGAAATTTAAATTATTACTTTATGCGAATTTATTCGCTATGGATAATTGCGAGATTTTAAATACTTTCTTTAGCCGCGGGTGGAAGAGAAACTTGGAATATTCGCGCGAGTATAATTGGATCCTAGGATATGTTGTAACACACGGGCTTTTACGAGCAACGAAGGAGAAAAATGTAATATCCGAGAAACGCTTCTGTAATATTTTCCGTCGGATATTCAATATCAGGAAAATATTCCAGAGACAGGAATATTTTTCCGATATTCATTTCCTTTGCTTCGAACCTACTCGCGAAACGTCGAAAATTATATTTCATCTTGCACTGTATTCACTAGCGCCACCATGGTTCGTATCTCCAATAAACGTACTGCGTATATCGTGCATATGGGTTGATTTTCTAATTTCACCGATATAATCTTGGAATTTTATTACTAAACGTACCCACGTATATCGTTTTAAATATTCCGATTATCCGAATACTTTCGCGCATGCGTACAGCGTCTGAAAGGCTGGGCGAGAAAATGGCGGCGAGGAATTGGGGTAAGCGTGGCGGCAGGGAAGGGAAAGTGGCGAGAAACGAAACAGAGAATCCAAATACGCGGAGAAAGGGTTGGAAACGCGTGGACATTCCGGGATCATTTTCCCATGCACGTGCGCATGAGCACGTCCGAGTCGCTGGCCGCTGTCGCGATTGCGCAAAAATCATTTGCATGACAATGGGGTAGGCCGCCGCGTGCCGGATAGTTTAGCTCGCCGGCCGAAAAACGCGCCCCGGCGCTGCGAACGCTGTGGGAAATCGAGCAGGCTGGAGGAAACGCGCGAAAACCCGCCCCTTCCACTCACTGGGTCCCGCAGCCATTGCGTACCGTGACGAAAATTCCGTCCGCGAGCTTTTCCGATCGAGCTCTGTTTCATTTCCCCGTAACGCGACTGTAACGCAGGAATTTCTTAGAAAGTTCGTTACTGCCGATTCGTTGATGTCTGCGCCGATGGGAGATGAACTTGGGAACGGAGTAGCTTCGTGCTCTAAATTACTTAAAAAAAAGTAAGCAACGAATCCACTTAGAAATCAACATTCGGTAAATTATCCGTGACTCGGCAGCAAATACTAGTTAATGTAACGCGTGCAGAAACGCAAAGCGCGGCGAATTTGTGTATACATAGTAATAACGATACTCTGCTGTTGCATGAATATTTTATGGTAATACGCGTTTATCCTGATATACGTTTCGAATGGGTTCGGGGAAAAAAGTTTTAGCCAAGTGCACACTCATTTGTATACTTTTACTGGGTAAAGTGTGTTAGTAGGCGTTTGCATGAATTAATAGTCGTGTTATACGCCTTGGTAAGACCATGCTAATAAGTACGTAATTATACGAAAGTTGGTAAATATAAATCACTTTTTTTCGCGAAACGTGTTCGAGCAGGTACATACAAAGGAATAAACACCGAGCGTTATTTAATTACGTAACATTAACGCAGCGCGTGCTGATACGATATTTGCATACCCTCGTTCACTAGAACGCGTATTTGCTGCAGTTTACAGGTTGCATCCACGCCGACCGTAACGCGTAAAAATCTGCCGCAACCCGGTTAAGCGAATTTCTTGGAACGGTGTGGATAACCCTTTAAACGCACGCCGCGCTTGGTATCGATGATAAACGCGAAATCAAATTATACACGTATACATGTAACCACCTGGTGGACCTCTTCGACAGTGTCTGTGCAACGGCGTCGTTAAACCGAACGATCCAGCGGCCACCGACTAAATGCCACGCATTAATTTCTTTTCCGACGCGAGACCGTCCTTCGCGCGATATGTAAACAAAGGTAAGAGCGTACGCTCGAGCACGAGGTCGCGATAGTTTTTCGTTAGAACAAAAACCGCTAACACGTACGAGTATCGTTTATATCGCTTCCATGTATTGCTGACGAAACGTCGAGATCCTCGCGCCGAGGATACGCGTTCGTTAATTCGCTTTTCGGAAAAATAAACAAGGACGGACGAGTAGCGTTCGAGAGCGAGTAAGAAAGAGCGAGCGGCGCGCGACGCTTCGAAAAGCAGGTTCATGCCTGCACAACTACGAGAAACAGCGAGAAAAATGCGAATTAAAATTAACCGCGTCTCTTTATACCGGTAATCAAAATTCCGATCTACGTTCATGTTTATTGTCCGTTGGTCGAAAGAGACTATGTATATTTTCCATTTTGGCCAATGATAATTACGAATACGCGAATAATTTGGCAAGGAGGTTATGTCGTTCGTGGACCCCACGCGTAATCGAACACGGAACGAATCTGCGACACCATACCCATGATCCCTTGCGACAACCTGATACGAGTATTAACCATCCGGGAGCACGTTAATTGCCCGCACAGTTTCGATAACGGCACTCGATTATTTCGTAACTTTCCCCACTGTGATCGTTACCGACAGTGATCATCTTAGATGCTTGATCGAGATTACCGAGAAAGTATACACAATATCGCGTACTGCGAAACGCTGCGCCACGGAACGTCTTCGAAAGAGACAACGAATTGCAACGATGTGGCGGGAAGTATCCGGGCGAAGAAGAACTATTTCGAAGGGATTATATCGAATTCGACGCTTGGGGCGGGCCACTTAATTCCCTTTAGTCACAGGGAAACGAACAGAGAGGGTGGCGACGTGGCCAACAGTCGAACAGGTCAAACTCGATTCGTTGGGGATCGAAGTGCAGGTAGTCGACATATTCGTTCCTTTTTCACGGCTTGACAGCGCCGCACGTGAACGAGGAATCTCGAGGCCGGATGATTTCGTTGAAGCTACGAAAATCTTTGCGAAATTTCTTCGCCAACGATGTTATCGAAGCGTTGCGTCGATTCGATCGCGAGAGGCTTTGCTTTCAGGAAATCGCTGGCCTTCGACGGTCGCGAGTTTTCGAGCATCTCGAATGGGAGAATTTGAGCGTTGCTATTGGCCGATATTCAAAAACGGTTGACATTACCGCGAGAAGCGGTTCCGAGACTTTGTTCTTTTCAAACATGGATTACGCGATTGGCGAAGCCGGCTGCTCGTCGTTGTTCTAACAATATATCACGGATAATGCGTTGCGTACGATGCTGATACGAAAGAATAGAATTCGCGAAAGATAACCGCATCGAATATCGTTCTACGTGGAAGGACCTCGAGCGCCTTTGGAGGTTACATTTCCAACGTAACGCTCTCTGACTCGCAGGAAACCGAGCAGGATGTTGATAGAATAAATTAGTTACTCACCATTCGATGAACGCCCACGTTTTCGCACAAGGTACACCTTTCTCGAGCAATGCAACTAAACTCGCGACGAATAAAAGGATAACCGAATAATTTCAATACGACGGGGACGAACACAACACACTCACAAGTCACAAAACAGACTGAAGCTCACTGGCCGGGCACCTCTCTTCGACGTTGCTACGAGACCAACCGAAACGACTCTCCTGCCCTCTGCCGGTAACGTCGGAACTTCTCGGCTCGCTACTTCAGCGCGCCAAATTTCAAATCTACTTTTTCGTTCCGTGTTCTCGTACAACGAAATAACGTTGGAAAAAATTAACGATACGGCAATTGCTCGGCTCGGTGAATAATTACACGAATCGTACGAAGGTTATGAACATAAATTACTCTCAATGTACGATTTATTATGTCACACTTAAATAACGTTCGATATATCGACGTAGTACCACAAATATTTATAAGATTTACAAGCTTTACAATCTTTGGTTGCGATTTTATACGCAAATGTAATTAAATTATAAAATAAATATATATTCTTTATTCACGTATACGTATAATTGTACAATTTAACGTTATTGCCCAAAATATGCTATATCTAGCAGGAACAATAGATCTCCACTGAAAATTCATACGTTTTGGAACAGACCGAGATCTCGAGCGCAAGAAATTTTTACTCGACGAAAGAGGAAGAGGAAATTCAAAGTACAGGTACTTTCGAATAAACCAATCGAGCGAGGAGCCTCCACGACGCGAATACGTACTCTCGAAGACTTTACCCGTCTACTGTATGGCACTATTTAACCGTGTCGTGAATATCGCTCTCTACCTTCTACCAAAGTGGAATGTTTACGAAAAAATATAATGCAATAACCAGGTGTCGTGTAAACTCTGACTGTATGTACTACAAAACACAGATCTGTTCAACATTATTTGAAGATAAACACGCGACACGATTTGCCAAATATCGAAGATTGCTATAGACAGTTTGAGCAATGACGTTGAATTATCCACCCCTTATATCCCCGTTCTCTTCCACGAAATTTTCACGAAATTGCAATTGTTACTTCAACACGTGCCACACGGTGACCAGTTTCCTGGGATTTTGGAGTACAGAGAACCAGTGCAGCCTTTCCGTCGCCCCCCTGACACCCTTTCCAAGCGCGACTTTACCTATGAAAACGTCTTTAGACTTCTGAACCGACGTCACCGAATCCTCGCTGTCGCTGGGATGCTCAGTGTTATTCGTAGCAACGTCGACGGGTACAGCCTGGAACGATTTTGAATCGTAATAATCGTAATAAAATGGCGGATACTCGTGAAAATCAATCGCATACTCTGTTGCACAGCACCACGAGATATTGCACTATGTCTAATTGATTGTACGATACGTCGAAGGTGAGAGTTTCGTTAAACTCGGACTGCGAGTTGGCAGCGACGAGTCTGGTCTTTTTCTTCTTCATTCGCTGACCCGTCCTCCCATTCAGCATCAATATCTTGACATAAAAACCTGGAAACGACGAACAATGCGTAGAGTTTGCGACGTGCGCGAGAGAAACAACGAGGATGAGTGCAAGATACGTGTGACGCTTACAAAAGTTGCTTAAACTCGACACCGTTGGTGTAAACTTGACGTCACGTACTTTCATTACGTTTATAGTCAGTCTCTGCGCTGTAGGTAAATAGCTTATACCTAATAAAACGTTGCCAAACTCCTGTAAAGAAAGATTTCGATTATTTCCTGCTTTTCTGTAACACAAAAGGGGTCTATAGCGAAGAGTCCGCAACGTTACCAGATTCGAGGGTTTCATTTTGAAATTGAACATGTGAATTTCCGGGCTCTGTAGAACGTGCTTCACTTCCTTCAGCGTCACCTTGAAGCTGCACAGCTCGGTGTCATTAGCATGTCTATCGTGATCGTGAGCAGCGAAGTCGAGAATCCATTCCTGCAGAAAAGGACAAACGGGCTAGGTAAACGTTTCAAAGAAGCAAATGCGTCACTGCCTTTGTCACGGCGAACGCATTGTCCGTTTGACTCGGAGGCATATTTTCGCTGTGAATAAAATTTCGAATCGAACCCGACACCGTTCCGAGTTCCTACACGAATATAAGCTACGTTTCCTCGGACAGGTTTCGCGATAGATGCGTTTCGCGAGTGACGTGTTCGGTAGCCTTGAGTTAAATACGACGTCGGAATACGCGAGGTGCTGATAAAAAGCTATCTACCTTAACTTCGTGCGGTTTCACGTTGGCAACCACGAACGTCTCCTTGAAAATGGGGCTGGCGGTGTGTCTGATGCCCCTGGTCCGGAAGCTGTGCAACTTTCGACGCTTCCTGGTGCTCCAGGATTGCTTGGTGATGGCCAGAGACACGTACGGCTCCAGGGTGCAGTTGTACTGTTTCGGCGGGAGACCGGATAACGCCTGCGCAGCATTGAACTTTTAAACTTACGTGGAAAGGTACGAATATAGTAATGGCTAATTAGGCAACCACGCGCGTTCGTTTCGCTAGGACAGTTGAACCACGTGTTCATCGCGTGTTCGTCGTCCACTGTAAACGCTATGAAAGACGACGATACACTGTAAAAGAGACTCGTTATTGGTCCTTCCTCGGGAATCGAGCATACACACCGCAGAGGATGAAAAGCCAGCGTGAAAACGCGGAGGCGGTACCCTATCGGAGAGAAACGAACAAACTCGTGGATTCCTCAGAGATTCATAACCCGATTTGCATGCCGTGGATAAAGCAGAGAGAAAGGAGAATCGGATGAAAGGTAAACGTTCGATACCTCGACACCGATAACGAGCTTGCCGGTAATGGTCTCGTCGCAGGGCGGCAGGTACTGCAAGCTTATCGTCAATTCCGTCGGGAATTCCTTTTGTTTCTTCTCCGTCTTCTGCTTATCTTTTTGCACCAGGTTCTGCAACGTAACGCCAGCGAATGAATTAACCCGGGAGCGGGATCTGTCGTAATTAAAATGAAATTTAGCTCGGCTAACGGGGCTCACCAGGGTGGACGAGGCATCGGCGCAAGCGAACTGAGCGTTGCTGGAATTCCAGGAATTCCCTTCGGTCGGGCTGGCGTTCTCGTTGATCGTACCTGTACAATATTTATCAGCACGGTGAAACGCGAGTCTCGTTTAACGATCGGGATCGACAAGCGCGACGGAAGGAACGCGAACGAGCCGCGGAATTGTGTACGGTACCATTGCTGCTGCCTTCGTAGAGGCTGCCCAATCTCCATGACCTGTAGCTGACATCGTTCAATTTCACGTTTTCGTTCTGCTTGCTCTTGACACGCAACGGCACACTTTTTGCTTCTCTCTCTGCAAGCAATTATTCTTGGCTCTGATTATGCAATTTGTAAACAGCCGCGATGGCTGAGCGCTAATTACGTATACACTTGGGTTAACGCATACGTATCGAGCCGAGTCCTAATTTCTGCAGCGCCGCGATGACGAAACGTCTGCGATTCGAAGCTTTTAACGAGATCAAGATACACGAGCGGAGAACAAGCTCGCTGGTCTACCAGCTAACCAATTCGATGGCGGAATTGAATGCGACCGCGATTAAGCGTCGAATCGTAGATCACGCGACGCTTCCGAGTATGGAAGGAAAATTTGTAATCGGCAAGTACGCCTAATCGTGGACGAGACGACGATGACGACGACAACGCCTCGTCGTGGAAGAAGAGCGCCTCTATGTGAAAAGGAGACTCTTTTGCGCAAGATGGTTGGGCGTTTTCATAGCGGTGCTATCGGAAAGCTGTGTGCAGTTAGTTTGCAGGATGACATACCTAATTACGCAACATCGCGGTGGAAACGAAGGAAACGTCGTCTGCATGTGTGTATAAATATAACTGTGCGAACAATGGCGTAATGTATCAGCCGCGTATACACACGATTCACGATGCAGGAATTTAAGCTTCCTTCCTTTCAGAGAAATACCATGCTGCTGGTTGCATAAATCTGGCGTTTCGGGTAAAGAAATGGCGACGGACCCGAAACGAAGCGGACCGTGATGGAAAAGAGGGAAGGAAAAAGAAACGGAAGAGAGGGAAACGAAGGAAGCCCGGACGCGGAATGGAGCCGCCTTTCGCGACTAATTCGCGCGCTCTTGTCATTTCAGTTTTTACGTAAACGCGTGTGAAGAATCTCCGCTCCACATAGTAATTGAAACGCGTCGAGCACCGTTCCGCGAGTGGACAAACGCGAGCATCCGGTAAACCGAGCGATCGTCGAGGTATTAGCGAGCACGGCAGCCTGAAAGGGCCTTTGGTTGGAAAGGTATCAAAAGCGAGCCGTACGCGCGATTATTTTTCCCGGCACGCGTTTCGTGTACAAGCACGTGTGCACGGAAGCAGAGCTCGCAAACGTGTCGGGAAAATTAAATATTACTAGCTCGGCTTAGCTGCCAGACGCCTCCGCGTTTAATCAACACAAAGCACTCGCGCGAATTGCCTTACACAAGTTCAAATAGCTAATAAACCAGGCACATTGCCGTGCCGCGCAATGCCATCGTTTCATAAACCCTGAATAATCCGCTCGGTTAAACGAACCATCTTCCAGATGGTCCACGGACGATGCAGCTCGCTAAAATTCCAAACGCGAGAATCGAGCCTCGATTTGAAATTGCTCGTTAGAGGCCAGGATAATTGCCTCGCGCCACTCGGCCGATTTTCATTAGAGAAAACGCCTTGAATACGAATCGCTCGCTAAAAAGTGCCAATGACGGTGATAATTGCTACGCCGTGTCTCTCGGCAT